TCCTTCCGTTTTCAGCCTAATTTCAGTTCTAATTTGTACAGTTCCAATTTGAGTATATCCTACTCACAGATCGTTGGTTTCCAAGTCCGGATTTTAAGAAAGAAAGGCAGCGCTCTCCGATCGACAGCTTGCGGCTTCACACCACGAACGAGCAGACAGCCCACAGCACAGCGCTCTCCCCCGCTCCGATTTCAAGCCCGTTTCTGGGCTTTTTGCCGGGTTGGGGGGGAACACCAAATGTGCCCGCTGGGTCCCAGGTTCACAGGCTTCCCCCGCCTGTGATTTTTAGGGGTCCCCTGCTGCGCCGAAGCGGGATTCGACCCTTTTTTCGTGGCGCTTATTCCCTCTAACCGAGGGAATCCGCCATCGACCGCTGGCGCCGCCTCCGGAAGTCCAAAAATTGCTATTCTACAGTGGTCTAGTGCTGTACACCCTCTTCTCTTTACTCCAACCAGGCAATAAAGAGGAATTATCAGAGTTCAGGGACACATTCCAGCCAGGCAAAGATGTTTGGGTGTGAAGCAGAGCAAGTGTGGGATGTCACCTGAGGGTCAACTCTCCTGAAGGGCCACATTTGGCATGTGGTTCTCCACCCCTGGTCTAGAATATAGTGCCCAGGCAGCTTTACCTTCAGTGAAAACTAGGCATTTGATTCTGTGGATTTATTTAATGATAAGTCAATTTCTTGTATTCAAGGAGTCAAGATGCATTTTTTAACTGTGTAGCTAATGTTGATCTGTGACCAAAGTATTCAAAATTAAAATGTTTAGATGTTGGTAGGTAAACAAATGTTTATATGCTTAATATAGTAATATAATATAATCTGACACTTGAGTTAGTCTTGTTATGATATAAAATAAGTGCCTCACAGAATCACTGAAGTATACATTCCGTGGTTTAAGAATTATTGATGATGTCCTCTCAAAAAACTGTAAATGAAAAATTAACTTAAAGTGGTGCTTCTAGATGTGGGAACCCAAGATAATACATTACAGGTTCAATACTGTTCAGATATCTCTGGATGATTTAAAACACCAATTTTCTCTTAGCACTATGTTCAAGCTCTCCTAGATCCATCATAAGCATCATGATATTCTGCTTTTCTATAATAGATAGCATGATGCTTCTACCTATCCATTGCAGGAAGGCAGAATATCATGTTGGGGACATAGCTGTCTTTTTGCTTACAATTTAAAAAAAGGAATCACAGGAATTAAGAGCTCTGCTTGGAAATGTGGTGTGCAGAGACTTTGAACAGTTAAAATAAAAACCCACTTGGCTGTGCTTAACGTGAGATGCACAGGGTTTTGCTTGCGCAACAGGGTTTCCCCTTTCTCTCCTCTCCCCCATGCACCCTCAAAGTATGTTCCAGAGTGTCTCTCGACCTTCTGGAGCAGATTTTATGGGGCCTGAAAAACCTGGGGAGTGGCGATATGGGGAAAATTCTACTGCACAAGTGGACTGGCAGCACTAGATACAATCATAAAGGTTCATGACGTTGCCGGGGGGTGGCGGATCCTGTGAGCCAGTGCAGACATTATTTTGGTTAGATTACTTGTGCAATGTACAGAAGAGAAGGAGACCCCTCCACAGTTCTATGGTGCATGCATATGCAAATATTTAAATGAGTAAGCCAACTGCAATAACATCCACACCAGGAGAAATATGGTGCTTCTTGGCTGATGAACCTAAGGTCCTGCACTTCTGTTCTTGAAGTTTTATGGTATGGTATGGGTGGAGAATCCACGCTTAAATCAGAAGCTCGGTTCCTCTGCTTTAAATGGGGGATTGTTTGTTTGTTACATTTGTATCCAAGGAGTTGAAAGTTGTGTAATGGATCACCCGTGCCCACCATTAATATACTCAAAACAAGCTTGTGAGATAGATTAGGCTGTGTAATTGTGACTGTCACAAGGTTACCTGTTGAGTTCCATAGCTAAGTGAGGAATTGAACCTGTGCCTTCCTTGTCCTAGTTCAACACTCCCACCATTGCTACACAACCTGTGTTTCTTCTTGAGGCAAACGTGATATTTGACAGAAGATCTGTCTGGGAACCTGGCTCTCTCCCAAGTTATCTAGCAGCAGTGGAAGAAAGGCAGATGAAAACCAGTGGAAACGTGTGTAATGCTTCCTCTGTTTCTCCCCTCTATTCTCTTCATCAGGGGTTGGCAAGGTTTACCTCGCCTGGGCCGGTTCACTCCAGCGGAGATACTTCTGTGGCCCGCGATTTCCGGCATCTGTGCAGACATGATTTCCAGCGCCGCAGAAGTGAGTCCCTACGCTGTGCTGCGCTGGTTTAGCACAGCGTGTGGGGACTTGCTGAGTGGACGGCTCAGTTCGGGGGCAGCTCGTGGGCCAGTTCAATGACCTCTGTGGGCCACTTGTGGCCCATGGGCCTTAGGTTATCGACCCCTGCTCATCATCTTAATAAATAATAAGAGAGGGTGTCTAGATCCATTTTGCTGTGGTTGGAAGAAAAGTGCCTAACAATATGGCCTCCAAATGTTTTGCACTACAACTACCCAGCATGGCTGTGATGGGAGCTTTCAGGTTGTTGAAGGCTGGGTTATCTTCATGGTCTAAGATGGTGCCCAAATTGAGTAAAATAAATTTACTCTTCCTCTGCTTGCCACCTGTAGATTCACCAGTAGCTGAACCAGGCTTCTCCACTGGTATCCCCTCTGAAGGGGACAGTTGACCTACGGATCCCTGTGATAAGGATTGCCATTTCCCTCAGACATCTACTTTCATTCAGGGTTATTCTGCCTTTAAAATAAACTTGGGGTGCCAGTTGTTTACAAATAATGACATAGCTGCCACATAGGTTTGTACATGGTGTGGCAATGTGCTCTTTTAAAAAAGCATAAAATGCCTGCCTTGTTTTCTGTGAGAAGTGGTAGCAAAATTGCTAACAACTTGCGTGACTTTTTACTAAAAAACATTGGCATTTGGTTTCCTCTGTTGACAGAGCACCTGAGCTCATTTCATTTGCTGTTGCAGCAGGAGGCTTCACAGCATCAAGAATCATGATTGTGCTCTTTTTAAAAAATTCTGCTGCATTGCATGGGGCAACTGTCAAGGCACATTAATCAGATTAAAAGCAAAACAGTATCCTTTAATATAACTATGTTAAATAGCATCCATACGCAGCCAGCTTGTTCACAGAACATGTCAGAAATCAGTTCAACTCAGAGAATCCAGAGCATGAAAACAGTTGGATACCTGGGGAAAAAGCATAGGCACAAAGGCTATAATTTTATGCAATTTTATGTAGGGAACCAACATTATGGATGATGCACACTGTGCTGACTGTGCTGGCCCCATGAATATACAAATCTGATCAGCAGACTGGCAGAAAACCAGTGCCAGCTGAAAAATGGCATTTGATGATCCTTCCAGGGTTTTCAAAGGGAAAGGATGCTATTTGCGCCATGACTTTAAGGAAGACATGATTGTAAGCACCATAGATTTCATCTATCCAGCAGGGGAGAGAAGCAGCCTTCCACTTGCATAGCTGATGCAGATGAAAACGTGAATCTCAATGCTCATTTTCATGATTTTCATGATGCTCATCCAGCCCACACTGAATTGGCAAGACGTGGCCAGTGCACCATTAGTTGTCTTAATTACATAGAGTTAAAGGTGGGTCAGAGCCAGTGAAACCAGTGGCAGTTTCCCCATCCCTTTCATTTTCTCCAGGCTGCATCTTCTGCCAGGAACTTTCTGTTTCCAGACAACTCTCTATGGTGCCTCAGCTGGCCTTCAAAATAAATGCCAGCTTACCCCAGGCATTGCTCTTCCTTTTTTTCTAAAAAATATCTGTGGGGTGGGAAAAGATAACCCTGTGACCAGGGCTATTTTGGGTATGGTAGGTAAGTAGAAATAGTCTAGCATAACTCTTGTTGCCACCTTGAGAACCTCTAGGGCAGAAAACTCATTCTTCAAAGGCTCTGGATGCGCATTCATAGGTCATTTCATGTTACATCCGCATGATGTTTGGGGCAGGACTTGGGTTTGCTGATTTTGCTCTCTCCAGTTCATTCAAGTGACATAGGAACTATGCTAACATTTGCACTTACGTAACTATGAACTTATGCATCCCAGTCTGCAGAAGAGACAAAAGGAATTATGGGGCCAGAATTGCTGGTGCAGTCCATTCAGTCACTTGCTCTGGAGAGAGGTAGGCTGAGCAGTTGGATGCAGGATAGAAGAAAGTCCTACCCACCTTGTTCTCTCTCCATGAATAGGGAAGATGAAAAGCTCCGTTGGTAAAGCAGAGGGTTGGATTAGAGCCTTGTGGTCCCTTCTATGATTCTATTCTATATACAGATAGCTTTATCACATTGGTGTAGAAAAACTGACCATGCTTATCAAGTGCTGAGGTTATGATTCTGATTTTTTGGGAGTGGGTAGAGACAGTGACCCTTTCATTAACTTGCACCATTTAATGGTCCATCATAATCTGGAGAAGCTGTCTCCAGAAGCTGCTGTAGGGCATGAGCACAACTAAGGGAAACTCACAGATGAAATCCTGGTGGAGGGAACAGCTAGTCTTTTTGCTGATCTACATCCTGACATGAAAAAGCCCACAGGCCTCTGACTTTTATAGAACAAGTCCAGCACATGTGGAAAGATTGTGATGTAACTCTCTCTGCCTACAAAGAGGAGCAACTTTCCTCCAGAACCAGCATTGTGGAGAGCTTGAGAGTGTCACAAATGGTTGTGATGAAAGCTTGTGTATATTTTATTTTTGAAAATAGTATAGCTCAAAAGAAAAAAATAGCTTGGCTCGACTAGATTTCTGACTAATACAGTTAAGCTGTTGCTTTAATGATAGGATGCATTTTTATTTGTGTGTGTGTGTGTGTGTGTGTGATCTTTATTGTCCTTTCAAAGGACAAACCAGTTGTTTAGTTTTTCTTTTAAGACCTAGTTACAGGTAGGTAGCTGTGTTGGTCTGCCGTAGTCGAAACAAAATAAAAAAATTCCTTCCAGTAGCACCTTAGAGACCAACTAAGTTTGTTATTGGTATGAGCTTTTGGGTGCATGCACACTTCTTCAGATACATGCATACAAAAGCTCATACCAATAACAAACTTAGTTGGTCTCTAAGGTGCTACTGGAAGGAGTTTTTTTATTTCTTTTAAGACCGTTATTGTATTTAAAATCACTTGACAGATTCTAATCTTTCCTCCATATCGTAACATTAATAAAGGCAAATTATTACAAAATGTTGAGACCCGATTGCTGGTCCTTGTATGCTGTGTGGTTTAATTTGCACATCCCTATGTTCTTATAATTCACTTCCCTATGTTCTTCACGTGCAGGAGGAGAACATGTGGGGTGGAGGGATGTGACAGGAAACTTGATTGACCCCATGGTATGTGCTGTAATGTTAAAGATGGCTAAAAAGACCAGAGAAGGTAAATGCTGGTTCAAGAAGTGTAGGCAGATTTTCTCCATGTCTGGTGGAAATGCCAGAAGGCAAAAAGCTTCTGGTCAGTGGCTATAAATATGATCAAAGAAATCTTCCAGGTTAGTCTAATTACTTTCCTCTCATTATGCCTTTTAAATTAATCGCAATGTGTGGTAGCTCTTGAGAAATTTCAAACCCAGGTGTTGAATGTACTCACGCTAGCAAGAATATTATATGCTAAGACTTGGAAGAAAGAACAAGCATCAATCAAACAGGAATTAATTTGGAAATGATGGGAGCAGTTAGGGCTGATAAAATTAACATCAGTGTTATGCTCTACCTCCAGTGAGTCTTTAAATAAATTGAACTTAGTCATGCGATATATTAAGCAAGAATTGGAAATAAGGGAGATAGAAATTGATTATTTCTGATTATAAGGAGTGTTTTTGTAAATAAAAAGGTTTTTCTACTATTAAATATTTTTATAGTAGCCTACATACATAAGTGATTTTTTTTTTTTAGTTTCTGTTGGGTGCTTAAATTCATAAATCTTCTGATGATATTAGTAATATATTTAAGGTATATGTAGTGTGTGAAAGAGAGGAAGAGAACTTATAAGCAAGTGTGATTTGACTCAAAATGTTTTTTGGATGATACCTATGGAAACATACTGCCTCCGACTGTGGAGCCAGAGTATAGTCATTGTGGCTGGTAGCCACTGAAAATCTCATCCTCCATTAATTTGTCTTAATTCTCTTTTAAAGCCATCAGTGGCCATCAGTGCCTCTTGTGGGATCATTCAACATCTGAGTACAGAAACAAAATATGCAATGCAGAGGACTGAGTGAAGAGCACTTTCCAAATATTCCGTGGTGGTTTATGAGGCTCTGTGGAATATTAGTTATGGAATAACTGATGGGCTGAATTAAAAGTGCACAGGAATGGAATGATGTGCGGCTGGCTTGCATGTAATGCTGAGCCATAGTTTAATACTAGGTTCACTATGATGAGCTGAGTGAAGCCTTGGGCTTGATGCCCCCCCTTCCTTGTTTTGTCTGGCCAGCAGAAGGACGTGGTTAGTATTTACCGTATTTTTCGTTCTATAGGACGCAACGGCCCATAGGACGCACCTCGTTTTTTGGGGGGGGAAATGAATAAAAAAAATTATTCCCCCCCCCCGCCGCGGCTGCCGCCCCAAGCCTCGCGTGCTTCGGGCTGCAGGCTGCCGCCCCAAGCCTCGCGCGCTCGGCGGGACCTCCTGCCGGGCGCGCAAGGCTTGCAGACACTCGCCCGAAGCACGGGGAGCCCTCCGGAGGGCTCCCGTGCTTCGGGCGACAGGCTGCTGCCCCAAGCCTCGCGTGCTCGGCGGGACCTCCTGCCGGGCGCTGCAAGGCTTGCAGACACTCGCCCGAGCACGGGGAGCCCTCCAGAGGGCTCCCGTGCTTCGGGCGACAAGCTGCCGCCCGAAGCCTCGCGCGCTCGGCGGGACCTCCTGCCGGGCGCGCAAGGCTTGCAGACACTCCCGAAGCACGGGAGCCCTCCGGAGGGCTCCCGTGCTTCGGGCGACAGGCTGCTGCCCCAAGCCTCGCGCGCCGGCGGGACCTCCTGCCGGGCGCGCAAGGCTTGCAGACACTCGCCCGAGCACGGGAGCCCTCCGGAGGGCTCCCCGTGCTTGGGCGACAGGCTGCTGCCCCAAGCCTCGCGCGCTCGGCGGGACCTCCTGCCGGGCGCGCAAGGCTTGCGGACACTCGCCGGGGCTGCAGGCTACTGCCTGCAAGCCTTGTGAGCCCGCGGGAACTCCCACCGGGCTTGCAAGGCTTGCGGATAGCTTCCTGAAGCCTGGAGAGCGAGAGGGGTCGGTGCGCACCGATGCCTCTCGCTCTCCAGGCTTCAGCTAAAGCCTGCATTCGCTCCATAGGACGCACACACATTTCCCCTTCATTTTTGGAGGGGAAAAAGTGCGTCCTATGGAGCGAAAAATACGGTACTTTCAATTTCAAAGAACCAAGGTTTAGCACTATGTGTGTTGAAATATACTCAGAGTCGCAAAGTGATTTCATGCTCTTTATTCAGCTCATAGTGGTGAGGAGGAATGAATGAAAGTCCCCTCAAAGTATCTGCTTTATATACATTATTTACACAATGGGCTGCACATGATTGGCTAATTCTGGAATTCTACTGTAAGCCAATCAGGTTGTGGATTCACTTATATCTGGAGCATGATTGGGTGGTTCCTGCCAACCAATCATACTGCTGCATTGTTCTAGGACCAATCAAACTGCTGCATTCTGAATCCTATTGTTCTAGGACCAATCAGACTGCTGCAGTTTGGATCCTATTCAACTCAGTACATAACACCCCTCCCCTCTAAGTTCCAGTCCTGCCCGGGAGGTTGCATTCATAGTCCTCGAGGTACGCCGGCGGCCTACGTGTGCGTTGCGGCCTGTGGTGTTCCCTGGTCCGGGGTTCAGGTTCTGGCTTGTGTTCCAAGGATGCTGGCTGTGATGGGCCTGTTTGGTCTAGTGCAACCGGCTCGCTCAGTCGTGGTTCTGGTTCCGGTGTCCTTTCGGCCTCGCGGGTCCTCTCTGCATTTACTGATTCTGCCTCTCCTGCTGGCCCGCCCTGCTCTATGGGCCTCACTGCCCCTCTGTTCCCTTGGGACTCCTCTGACCTTTCCTCCTCCTGGTTTTCTCCTGGGAATCGTCGCCGTATCTGGTCGCAGTGGCGGCGCCAGCATTGCCCCCCATCCGTTAGCACCTCGTACGACACGGGGCCAGTGACCCTGGTGACTGTGGCGGGTACCCATGCTGGAAAATAAGCAATGGAAAATCTGTGTGTTTTTAACTATTTTTATTTTGTATTTTTGTTATTTTTTCATTTTTATTGTAATACTTTAAAAAAGCTTAATAAATATCTTATAAAAAAAAATAGATTCTGGAATATGCCTGGTGCCACACTGACACCGAATTGCAGCCGCTTTACCCTGAACGCTCCTCTGTGTGTCACAATCGTCTGTGCCTCTGCTGTGGCCTCATCTACTGGCAGCTGTTGATATGCTTGGGCCAAGTCCAGCTTGCCAAAATTTTTTGACCCAGCCAGGGTGGCAAGGACATGGCTGACCACTGACACTGGGTATGCATGGGCCGTGAGGGCCTTGTTTATGGTACATTTGTAGTCTGCGCAGATGCGGACCGAACCATTAGGCTTGACGGGTGTGACAATTGGGGTTTCCCAGGGGGCATTAGGCACTGGCTCCAGCACTCCTTGCTTCACGAGCTGGTCCAATTCCTCATCTATACGGGGTTTCATGGCGAACGGGACCCGGCAGGCCTTGAGCCTGACCAGTCGTACTGCGGGGTCAAGCTGTAGAGCAATGGGGGGGGCGTATACTGTCCCAATTTCCTATCAAAAACCGCTGGAAATTCCTTGCATATGGCGTCCACGTCCACTTGTAAGGTAGTGTGGTTCACCCTGGTGATGGCTAGCCCCAATGGTCCAAACCATGCCAATCCCAGTAAGCTAATGTAGGGGCCCTTGACCACAAGCAAGTCCAGTTGCCGCGTCCGCCCTCGGTATTGCACCCTGAAGGTCCCCACCCCCATTGTGGGGACCTTACGTTTCTGGAAGTCCTGGAGGGTGAATGGGGCCGGCCTGAGTTTGGGACCCCCAGTAGGACACAGTTTCCTTAAGGTCCTTGCCGAGATTATGGATAGAGTTGAACCCGTGTCAAGCTCCATGCGGCATAGGGCCCCCCTCTATCTGTACCTCTACATAAATTTTCTCTTCGTTGGGGTGGGGCAACTGGTATACCTGGAAGTCCGTGAGCTCCGTCGAGTTGCCTTGGTGCGTTGGGCTCCAGGACCTGGGGCTCTTGGATTGGTCATCTGATGCCTGGCGTCGGGTGGGCCGAGCTCGACACACCCGGGCGATGTGTCCCGATTTTCTGCACTGCCTGCACTCTGCGTTGCGGAAACAGCAGGTCCTCCTCTCGTGACTTTCCCCGCAGCTTGCGCAGTTCCCTCCTTCTCGTCGAGGCAGCTGTGGTATGTGGGCTGCTTGAGTGCGCTGCTGTACTCAGTGCACCTCCTCCCTGTCAGCTCCTGAGTCATCGGTGAGGTTCTTCGTGGTGGACCCTCGGTTGGGATGGCAGGCTCGACCGTGCCTCTTGTGTTGACCTCTTGGCAGCTTCCGTTGCCAGGGCCTCCTCCAGAGCGACCTGGAACGTTAGGTCCTTCTTAGCGTAGAGGCGTCGTTGCAGCTTCTCATCCTTCAGGCCACCGACGAGGCGGTCACGAAGCATGTTCTCCAGCTCTGAGAAGTTGCAGAACCGGGCGGCATGGCGGAGAGAGGTCACAAACCCAGTTATGGTTTCCCCAGGGGCTTGCTGCTTTGCGTAGAAGGCATTTCGACGAGCTACCACTGAGGGCTGCGGCGAAAAGTGCCCCTTCAGCTGTTCCATTATTGTTTTGTATGGAACAGTAGCGACATCTTCAGGCGCAAGGAGAGCCCAGGCGATTTCAAACGTCTCCTCTCCGCAGATGCTGAAGAATATCGCCCTCTTCTTGGCGTCTTCTTCATCGGTGACCCCTTTGGCTTCTAGGAGGAAGGTGAAACAGGAGGCGTACGATTCCCAGTCTCCAGATGCTGGGTTGAACGGCGAGAAACTGCTGTCGGTTGCCATTCTGAGTTCCTTGTGTCC